GCACTAAAGCCTGTGCTGAATTCTTTTTTTTTTTTTTAAGACAGACTTTAAAGATTTTATTTATGTGAGAAAGAGAGCATGTGTGGGTGTGCACAGCGGGGAGGAGGAAAGGGGAGGGAGAAGCAGCCTCCCCGCTGAGCAGGGAGCCTGACAGGGGGCTCGAACCCAGGACCCTGAGAGCATGACCTGAGCTGAAGGCTGATGCTTAACTGACCGAGCCACCCAGGTGCCCCATAAAGCCTGTGCTAAATTCTTAATGTACTTGAACTTATTTCATCTTTATAATAACTATTTGAGGGTGATGTGAAAAAAAGGAGGCTTAGAGAGGTTAAAGAAGTTTCCCAAGGCCATCTGACTGTTGAGTGGAAAAGCTGGTAGTTAAGCCATTTTATCGGACTCCGAACTCCAAACCCCATGCTATCTATTTAAAAGGGGAGGAGGGGGGCGCCTGGGTGGCTCAGTTGGTTAAGCGACTGCCTTCGGCTCAGGTCATGATCCTGGAGTCCTAGGATCGAGTCCCACATCGGGCTCCCTGCTCAGCGGGGAGTCTGCTTCTCCCTCTGACCCTCTGACCCTCTTCCCTCTCGTGCTCTCTATCTCTCATTCTCTCTCAAATAAATAAATAAAATCTTTAAAAAAAAATAAAAGGGGAGGAGGGGCAGTGTGTGGCTTAGCAGCTGCACATGTGAACATTATGTAGAGATTTTAGGCAACATGAACGCAGATATGAGTCAGCAGTTTCATGTGGCTGTCAAGAAAATGATTCAACCTGTAGCCCCATTGCTAATAATAGCTCGTGTCTATCAAGTACTGGCCCTGGCCACGTGCGAGGCTCTATTCTAAGTACTTTACGTGTATTAACTCCTTCTGTCTTCACAACAAGCTTACCAGGGTCATCCCCTTTATACAGATACAGGAATGGAAGCTCAGAAAGGTTAAAGATCTTGCCTAGAATTATGGCAGACAGAATGTGATGATTAAATGGAGGAATGGCCTCTCTCCTCTACTGACTCTTCCTAGACCTTCCCTCGGGTTCAGTAAAAGTGTCTGGAAAAGCAAGGTGGGGGATGCTGAGTTCACAAAACTTCAGGCATTGTTTACGTGATTGATTCTCAGTGTGCAAAGAGTGTGCAAAGAGTGTCCACCTGAGGATTTCAGTGAAATGGGAGTGTTCCCATGCCCACAACGAGAAATGGTTCAGAGTTAGCATTTTTAAACAACTGTCTTGAGTGATTTTTGACTCCAGGTGGTCGGGCCTCTGAGGATGCTCCAGAAACACCAGTCGAAGTGTTTTTCATGGCAGTCCAAGACTGGCTTAAGATGAAATATTTCAGGTACCAGGAAAAAAGATTTGTCCCAAAGTCTCAGAAGAAGCGATTAAGAGAAAATTACACACACATGCTCATGCGGAGAGAGAGAGGGAGAGAAAAAAGGGAAGAGATAAAAAGAGAAACATGTTGTTCCTAAGGCTCTCACAAAAGAAAGGTTAAAAATTAGGTACAGTTATGGAGGATATTAATTTTTTATTTATACGCCTAGGTATTTCTTGTTACTTTTTTTCTTATAATGGCTTTGTTGCTTTTATGATCACAACAGCCATAAAAATGACATATACAGTAAACGTCATTCTTTAGAGGACTACTGTGACAATGGAAAGCTGCATACTATAATTTTTAAATTAACAGGCTTTATTTTTTAGAGCAATTTTAGGTTCACAACAAAATTGAGGGAGAAGCACACAGTTCCCAAATCCCTCCCACCCCCACGTACACACACAGCCTCTCCACCAGCATCCACATCCCGTGTGATTATAATATGCTTGTTAGGTCATTATCCACCAAAGTCCATAGCTTATATTAGGGTTCACTCTTGGTGTAGTGCAATCTATGGACTTTGACAAATGTATAATGGCTTATCCACCATTATAATATCATATAGAATAGTTTCACTGACTTAAAAATGCCCCGTGCTCACTCAGTCATCCTTCCCTTCCTACCACTGCCCCCAACCAGGAGCCCCGGGTGACCACGGATCTTTCTACTGTCTCCACAGCTTTGCCTCCACAGTGTCATATAGTTGGAGTCATATAGTATATCACCTTTCAGATTGCCTTCTCTCACTTGAGAATATACATTTAAGGTCCCCCCATGTCTTTTCATGACTTGATAGTTGATTAATTTTTATCACTGAATAATATACCCTAGTACGAATGTATCATAGTGTTTGCCTATTGAAGGCCATCTTGGCTGTTTCCGTGTTTGGGCAATTATTAATAAAGATGCTGTAAATATTTGTGCGCCGGTTTTGTGTGGACATGCATTTTCAACCTAATTTAGCAATGCACCAAGGCATGAGATTGCTGGAGCATATTTGGTTTCCTGAGTTTCGTAAGAAACTGGAAAACTATTGCATTACCCCCATCAGTGATCAAGAGTTCCTGTCGCTCTACATTCTCACCGGCATTTGGTGGTGTCAGAGTTTTGGATTGTGTCCATTCTAGCAGGTGTGCTGTGGTATCTCATTCATTGTCTTAAGTGATGACATATGTTGAGCATCGTTTCATAAGCTTATCGGCCATCCGTATATCATCTTTGGTGACATGTCTGTTCAGCTATTTGGCCAATTTTTAAATTGGGTTGTTCCTTTTCTTCTCATTGAGTTTTAAGTATTCTTATCTTGGATAATAGTCCTTTATCAGATATGGCTTTTGCACAGATTCTCTGTGAGTCTGTGACTTGTCATCTCATTCTCTTGACAGTGTCTTTTGGAGAGCAGTTTGTAATTTTAATGAAATCTAAATTATCAGCATTTTTTTCATGGATCATGCCTTTGATTTTGTATTGAAAAAGTCATCACCAAACCCAAGGTTGTCTAGATTTTCTCTGATGTTATCTTCTAAGAATTTTATAATTTTTCAATTTATATTTAGGCTTATGATCATTGTTTTTCATGAGAATGTCCAATTGTTCCAGCATCATTTGTTGAAAACACTATCCTTTCTCTGTTAAATTGACTTTGCTCAAAGATGACTTGACTGTATTTGTGTGAGTTTGTCTCTGAACTCTATATTTTGTTCTACTTATTCCCTTGTCCATTCTTTCACCGATCCCACATTATATCATTTACTGTAGCCTTATAGTCAGTCTTGAAGTTGGGTAGTGTCAGCCCTCCAACTTTGCTCTTCAGTATTTTGTTGGCTAGTCTGGGGGTTTTGCCTCTCTATATAAAGAATCAGTTTGCTGATAGCCACAAAATAACTTGCTCAGAGACTGGGATTACTTTGAATCTGTCCCTGAAGTTGGAAAGAACTGATGTCTTAATACTGAATGTTCTTACCAATGAATATGGGATATCTTGCATTTAGGTCTTCTTTGGTTTCTTTCATCAGATCTTTGCAATTTTGCTCATATAGATCTTGTACATATTATGTTGATACCTAAGTATCTCACTTTTTCTGTGTGCTAAGGTAGGTCGTGTTATGTTTTAAATATCAAATTCCAATTCTTCATTGCTGGTATATAGGAAGTTGATTGACTATTATACATTAATCTTGTATCATGCAAACTTACTATAACCGGTATTTGTGCCAGGTTAATTTTTGGTCGATTGCTTGAAGTTTTCTATATAGATGATCATTTCACCTGTGAACAATTTTATTTCCTCCTTCCGCAAAGGTACACTTTTTCATTTCCTTTTCTTAACAAATTGCATTAGCTAGGACTTGCAGTCGATACTGAAAAGGGCTGGTGAGAAGAGACATTGGTCTTAGCAAGGAAGTTTCTTTCCATGAAATGCGATATTAGCTGTCGGTTTCTGTAGATGTCCTTTACTAATTTAGGGACGTTCCCTTCTGTTCCTCGTTTGCTGAGACACAATATAATTTTAATGTAAAACATTGCCCAATTAGTGTGTACAATTGGGTTCTGCTTTTGTGAAAAATGTATTTTACACGGGGGGAAAAAGAGTGGAAGGGAATACACTTATAAATCAAGGTAGTCATCTTTGGCTGGAGAATGAGTATTTTCTTTAACAATTCTGTATTTTCTAACCCCAGTGAACCTATGTTGTTTTCTGTGACAGAAAAATAACAGTATGAAAAGTGATGAGGTGTTCCGGTGAGACTGGCTCGCGGACAGAAAAACGGAGAGAGGTAAGTAAAATGGAAATCTAAGGAGACAGACCTGACTTAGTAATTGCGTCATCAACGAGAAGGCAAGCTCTCTGAGGGCCAGGCCTGACTGAACTAGCCCCACAGCGTAATAAATCTCTTCACCTGGGTCTCGGCTTTGCCTAGGAAATGCTATTTACTTATTTGGCATTCCGAGCATGGTTTTTGTGGATACGGAACCTGCTTTCTGTCTTCCCAAGTAGTTTTGCCTATTGTTTTAGAACGAGGAGAAGGAGCTAGAGGGAGAGAGCGTGACTGATTGGAATGAACCGAACTACGGAACCGGGAGCTGAGTGACCCGACAAGTCACCGGAGAGGGGAGGAGGAGCGCGCCCCAAACCCCAGGTTCGGAGCGCGGGCGCCGGGCCGGCTCTGGAGCCCCGCGCAGCGCCCGGTGGCGGGAAGGGGGCAGTAGCGCCCCCGCCTGGCTGCGACGCTCCCGGGGCCGGGCACATCCCGCCGCCCAGGTACCTCGAGAGCGCACGCAGCTGCCGGCGCTCTCCCCGGTGCCGCGGCTCCCGGGCCCGCCGTGTGCCGGGGCGACGGCGACAGGCGAGGGGCCGGGGCCCGCCCCGCCCCGGCCGCCTGCAGCGAGCGCCGCGGACCGGCTGGAGCCGGGTGAGCCGCCGCGCCCGTGTCGCGCCGCACGCCGCGGAGGCGCTCGGGGACGGCGGGCGCGGGCGCGCACAGGAGGCGCAGGGCGGCCGGCGCCGCGCGGACCCTCGGCGGGCAGCGCGCCCACCTCCCTGGGGCCGCGGCTGCGGGCGCCCCCGGCCCGCGCGGCCCCTCCGCCACAAGTCTGGGAGCTCCCGGCCCCACGCTGCCGGTGCCCATGGGGATCCGAGAGTTTCCCGGCGGCGCACCCAGGGGCAAGAGCATCGCCGTGTGAGTAGCGCCCGGGCTTGGGCGGCGCGAGCGGGCGGGCGGGCGGCCCTCGGCAGCCGGGACGCCGGGCAGCCTGGGGCTCGGGTAGGGGCGGCGCGCGGCGGAGCTGCTCGGGAAGTTTCGGGCGTCCTCTCCCTCGCCGCTCGCCCCAATCTGCACTGCTCCGAGGCGCCCGCGGCCGGGCGCGGGAGACGGGACCCGACGCCGAGGCTGCCGGGGTCGCTGGGGCGGGTGGCGGGCGGAGACGCGCGCCGGCCCTGCGGCCGCACCTGCCCCTGCTGCGCCCTTGCTCGCCCTCGGATCTGCCCCTCACCGGAATCTCCCTCCTTCTCTCCCTCCCCGCCCACTGCCGGCGCGCGGCCTCAGTGGCATGAGGAGGTCACCGGACGTCAGCCCCCGGAGACTGTCCGACATCAGCCCCCAGCTCCGGCAGCTCAAGTACCTGGTGGTGGACGAGGCCATTAAGGAGGATCTGAAATGGTCGCGCTCAGTGGAGGATCTCACCAGCGGGCCCGTGGGGCTCACGTCCATCGAGGAGCGGATCCTGCGCATCACCGGCTACTATGGCTACCAGCCCTGGGCAGCGAGCTACAAAAGTAAGACCACCCCCCCCCCAACCCCCGTCCGCGGGTCCGTCTCCCGTGCCCTTGTCCCTGGCAGCTGGGGAGCACCCGCAGCGACGCGCCCAGCCACCCCCCTGCTGCCCTGCCCGCAGATACAGACCCAGCTTTGCAACTTTTAGGAGAGACCCGGAGACGGAGTTCTCCAGACCTTTGGGAATTTCTGAGCCGTTCTCTTACACCCCCTCCCCTTCCCACACACGCTTCTCTGGTCTCATCCCCTTGCTCTTGAGGTTTCGCAGGAGGGAGACAGATTGGAAACTCAGTGTACCCTGCGCTCTGTGGCTTCCCTGCGGATTCGAAAGTGTTACTCGCCCTGGGTCGGGCTCAGCTGGCTCAGAGACTGACTGCAGACTTAGTGGGCCTGGATTTTAACTCTTCCCTTTGTCTCCTGGGCCCTGATGGTGGTGGAGGATTCCGGGGCCTTGATTTGAAACTCCTTGGCTCCTTTTGCCTCGTGTCTTTATCTGTCCTCAGTGTAGAGGTTCTATCTGGATCATTCTAGATAATGGCATTTGGTCCCGGAGAGAGAAATGGTTGGTGCCAGGTGGAGCAGCTGAAACTTTTCTTTGCCAGTGGGCCCCAGCTGATGGCTTTGGCAATGCTGTGATCAATTGTAGAGATAGTACCTGTGCGAGCAGGACTAATTTGGTGGGCATTTCTTCCCTTCACTTGGAAGGGAGAAGTTGGCCATGACCAGCTCCAGATACCTATAACTCTAAACCCTAATTAGGTGGCCCCATCACTGTGGTTTGGCATAGCAAAAACATTGCCCTTTACCACCCCAGTCAAGAAGGGAGTACTGCTTCATTCCATTTGTAATAAAGACAAACAGCTTAATGATTTTGAGATATGTTTTTCCCCGTCATTACTTGAAATTGGAACATACTTTATTGGTCCTTAGGAAAAAAATATCAGGCTTTTGTAAATTAATCATATTCAGCTCTAAAAATATGTCTCGTTTTCTCCTAAAACCCTTGATTCCAAGCCAGAGGTCAGCAGTATGCTGGCAATTAACTGGTTACTTTTAAGTTATTTGCAGGCAGAAACGCAGGATTTTAATGTTTTGTTTTCGTGCCCTTACTTGTTTTTAAGGGACTGCGGTGATTGTGTTTAACTCTGTATAAACCTTTAAAAGGTTATCTGTGTCTCCTCCAGTCTCCTGCTTCTGCTGCTAAAATCGTAGCTGATAAATTGGCTTTGGATCACAGAAGGAACACAAGGGACCAAGTTCTCTTTTAAGCAGAATGCTGGGCGTGGAATGAAACAATGCAAAAAGAATGCAAACCCATTGGAAACCTTTTCTCTTATAGGTGAAGATAGGACAGGTCCTATTTCTGCTTGCTGAATTTCTATCAGAAATTTCCTATTTCTTAGTTCTGTTCTCTGCTTTCGTAATAACCAAAGACAGTGGTGTAAATTACGGTCTTCATGGAGTCATCTAGCCCCTAAAGTCATGCAGAGACTTACCACTGTAGTTTTACTTGTGACGTGGCCCTGTGTGCTTTGTGGAAATTTTCACCAGGGTTCGTGGCTTGGCGGGTGGGCAGGGAACCACAGCAGTGATGACTGTATTTGGTACAAACACACTTGATAATTCAGACGGGGGACAGGCCATATGGAAAACGAGTTTCTTGTGCCACCAGTGGATTCTTAAATATCGCCTCTCAGGCTTCGTTGAAGGAATAATATTAATCGACAAGGCGACAGCGATCATTGTGATTGAGTAAAGTCAGCTCGCTCCAGTCTTTTTATTCCCATGAAGATTCTTCTTTATTCCAGGGTAGTTCCTTTTTTTCATAAAATGCTTTAGGTGACAACTGACATTTTGATGAATTAATTAGATTTTAAGTTTAAATTTAGAGAAGCTAATGTTTTATTAATATAGTCAAAGACGTCTTAGGGCAGTCCTTTGGCTGTTTGCTATTTCTATCAGAGTAGAAAGAAAAATAAAGAGGCTTATCTATATGTTGGTATCAGTTCTTCTGTTTGTTGGCGAATAATCATACTGAGCAAGCTGGGAGCCGTGATGATTACCAAATAAATATTATTCTCATGGTCTGCAGAGCAGGCTGTGCTCGTCCTTGGCATTATTAGGTCACCTTTCAGTCATCTTGCAAGGTGGCTTGTCTGTGTACCCGCTGAAGGAGTCCCCAGTGAGAATTTCTGACTGTTTGAGAGGTGCAGGTGAGCTCCTTTGTCACAGCAGACATTACCGAAATAAGCGAGTATCCATTCTTACCCTCCTAATTTTTCGTCTTTATTTTGGGCAGCTAAGGCAAATGAGGTGACTGTCAATAGTGCAGAAATGGCCTTTGCTCAGTATTTTCTCCCCATTCCGTGAGATGAACAAGTTTCCCACTAGATAAGGAATTTTGTAAGAAATTGTTGGGGAAAAAAAAAAAAAACCCACCTCCTAAAGGACCCTGGGTCTGAGGGGGATGGTGTGTGGAGCATTCAGCTGAGAATTAAACTAGAAACAAGTAGGATGGGTCAAGGTCCTCTCCTCAGTGGCTAAAATCCTGCAAGCTCCACATGCCGTGTTTCTGAACCAAACCGCTGGGCAGGATTCTTGGGGACTCCTTGGGTTCCTAGCTGTGAGTGTATCCTGAGCCCAGAGAGCAGGTGGTCTAAAGCAGTTGCTCAGTAAATGTCTGTTGAGTGAGTGAGTGCCTACGGTCTGAGACTCTGGCCTCGGCGAGAAAGAACCTTTGAATGGACCTCTGTAGTGATTTGGGTCCTTGGATTCTTTTTGGGGCCTTCCTGTCTGTTTGGAATTGCTTCCCTCCTTCCACATTCTGCCATCACAGCTGCGTCCTTGGCTTTCCAAACTGTAGACTAGACCAGGATTCCTGATGTAGCAAGCTTTGGTTTCACCCCAGGTTTCCCAAGCTCAGCACAATCGAAATTTTGTACTGAATCATTCTTTATTGTGGGGGGCTGTCCTGTGCATTGTAGGGTGTTTAGCAGCGTCCCTGGCCTCTTGCACTACACTGCCATCCCCCCTGCAGCGTGGCAACCAAAAATGTTTCCAGATAATGCCACATGTCTCCTGGGAGTGTACCTTTGGATAAGAAGCCCTCATTAATCTAACACCAAATGTATGCTCCAAGTGAACTCTTCTGCTGACTGGTCGTGCTAACCTAAAAGGCTTGCCTTCTGGATTCCTGACCTCTTGTCTTCATTCTTCCTGGACCACTTCTTAGGTTTTCATGACAGGCTTGGCTAGAATAAACAGCCTTCTGGAAGAGCTTGTGGCCTTTTCAGCTGACATGATTCTGTACCCATTCACCATAAATGATAGCCTGTAGAAAGTGCTTTCAACTTCAAAACAAGGTGCCTAGAGCCTCTCAATGACTTCCTTTCCGCTCCCACCTTGTATCACAGAAGGACAGAAATGACCACCTGGAATCTCCACTGCTGCCCCCTTGCTTTCTTGGTTCTCTGGTGTAGACACCACTGAGGGAGGGCTGGGGAACAGAAATCAGGAATAAGCCATCAGGATAATGGTAGCCAGGCCTGACGAAATGGGGACCGGTGGCGTTTTGGCATAGAGATGATTGAAGTAACTACTTTGCAGATCCCAGATGGAGGCTCTTATGCAGGATGAAGGAGCATTTATAAATGCTTATTTTCATTTACTCATTTAGCAGACTTTTTTGGAGCACTTACTAAATGCCAGAATACAGAGATCAGTGATGAGAGAGGAAGCTCACTGCACAGATGTGCACAGATGTGCCTTTGTCAGGAAGCACAGATCAACAAATATGTGGGTCTAGGAAATGGATACACTGTTTACAGTTAGCAGGGATGTTGTACTTTGCAAAAGGTTCCCCTGATGGGTGGTTTCAAACAGCAAGCCCTTGAACATTTTTCTAGTAAAGAAACTTTCTAGGAATAGCTTTTGGTTGGGGGATGTGTGAATGGAATGGTCATGTTTATTTCTTAAAATGAGGTACAACTGTCTTTTGAGCAGATTTATTAATATTACATGGCACTGACACGTTCAGATAAAGGTGATTTTTTTTTTTTTTGAAACAAAGCCGTTGGGTTTAGTTTTAAGTCATTTGTAGAGAGGAGGTTGAGCTGCAGTTGGCAAGTTGAGCCTCGGTTCGGAACATGGGGATTCCTGAGCAAAACCATCCATCTAGCTGGGTGGAGGTTTTATAGTTCAGGCTGGGAAAGAGATCACCAAGTAACTCTGCCAGTAACAAGGCAGTCTCTTGTTTTGGGATCTTCCAGTTTAAAAACGTCACAAAGGGTTTGTGTGAGGTAAGGGGAAGCAATAGGTATAGAAAGACCATCTTTCTACTCTCTGCCATTTCAGCCCAGACTGTGAGTATAGGTGGCTGATGTCGTTACCAGTGAGAACTGGAACGGTGGCTCATAGTATAATTGAATTCATGGTGAGCAGCTTCTGTTTGGCCCTCCCAAAATAGTAAAGGTCAGGTCAGCAATTCAAAAATGACCCACTCGTAAGAGATTTATAATTTGGTTGTAAATGTTTATTCTAGATCGGAGCTTGGCATATTGAAATACTAGATCGAAAAGAGTTTTTTTTAAAGATTTTATTTATTTGAGAGAGAGAATGAGAGAGAGAGCGAGCATGAGAGGGGGAAGGGTCAGAGGGAGAAGCGGACTCGCTGCCGAGCAGGGAGCCTGATGCGGGACTCGATCCCTGGACTCCAGGATCATGACCTGAGACGAAGGCAGTCGCCTAACCACCCAGGCACCCCTAGATCGAAAAGATTTTTAAAGGAAAAAAGGTTGGAGGTGGCAGGGGTGGGCCAGAGTGAGCAGAGAGCATAAATAACACTTTCTAACGTTTCAGAGAGTCCGTTTTATTCCTGAATATGAATACATGTTAGCAAGGTAGTAAATGGTTTTCTGAGATTCAAAAGAATTAAAATGCAGAACTATTATCTTTGAGGGAAGCACAGTGCTCCCCAGTATGCTCAGGTCATGGACGGGGGTTA